GAAATGAGTTGAAAATCATATATAAAGCTTAAAATATTCTTAAAGCTTTATATTATCACAGTTAAATATGAAACGTCTATCATCAAATTGGAATAGCTCAATATTAACATAAACCATACAAAGTTGCTTAAATCATTTACGTACACGTTTTAAAAAAAGTGGTCTTAGGATTGAACCCTGAGGTACGCCACATATCACAATTCTCTGTCTAGAAGGGTTATTGTTTATTTTGACAACTTGTCGTCTATTTACAAGGAATTTTGTAAAAACTTCAATAACAGTATCACAATGCCGAATCCTCTCTGAGAAAAAGTCGTGATTTATTGTGTCAAAAGCTCGTGTCAGATCACACAGCATCATATAATTCGCATTTTTTCCTTATATTTTAGTAAACAAACTGTAGTAAAGAGTGCAACGAATCAGCTTCCCGATATAAAGCTAATAAAGAACTACTAACTTCTACACGAACAATTAATAAAATTTATAAAAGTAATAAAGTTGGTTATTTTAGTTTATATAAAAACCTCTTTTGTATTTTTCCAGGATTTTTTAAAAATATTGTTCCTATCAAATGATAACGTTTTTCTTTTGCTCGAGATATTTTTCAGACACGTCATGCTTTTCCTTATCTATCTATCTTTAAAACGCACGATACTCCCAGACAGCGAAAATAAACGGACCCAGATTCGATTTGTAAAACTCATCCTTTCTCAGGTCAATAAATTCGATAAAATTTTAACTCATATTTATTTACACTGTAGATTGAATCAGAAAACACCGAATTGATAATATGATCTTTCTATGATAAACTACATAGTTAAAATTTTATTCTTCTTAATAACACTACTCTAATTATGGCCATTATGTAAAATATTATTTAAATATTAACTCAATTAACAAAAAAACAATTCACTGCACGTGTACGACCCGTCAAGCACCAGTGGTGGTGAACCTTTCGAGTAATGAAGATCTTCAGATATTTTTATATTACGTAATACTATTTCAAAAAGTATTGTTTAGCTCTCCGGCAGGTACAAATGTAGATATATAAACCGCTTTTGATAATTTATCGTACTTGGCTACTATGGATGAAACCATGGTCTATAATTAGTAGAGATATATGGATAAACGATGTTTTCTTCTTGTTATATCTTTCTGCAGGAGGATTGTCACAAGCCGTTTCCACGATTGCCTCATAAATGGATCGTGCCGTATCTATAAATTTTTGTTGTTGGATGTATCGGCCACTTTTTTACTCCCGAATAATCTGGACCTCGGTAGGATCTGGATTAAAAAAAACAAATTCAACTTGTTCTACCTATTTTAAGGTCATCAGAGCAAACACAATCTTAAAGATATCTATAAATTGACATAATTAAGATTTTTATAGATCTAGATAGGGATTGAGTCTATCTTGAAAGAAATTTGATACAATCTATTAAAAACTTAATTATGTCAATTTATAGACATCTTTAAGATTATTTTGCTCTGAAGATGACCTAAAATGGCCGAAAGTTTGGTTGATAACAATTGAATTGGTTTTTTCATACCTCCATTCAGATTATCCTTGATCTATAAATTTCACCCATTCCAAACTCCTATAGCGCTTAAGGAATCACATCTTCCAGATTATCAAGTCATTTGGGACATGTCATTTTCGTTAATTAATGTTTAACCATGACCTTATAGAAGTGTACCGTTGTTCAAGCAGGTTTTCATTGCCATATGCTATCCAACCATAGTACTGCTTTTCAGCTTTCTTATCTAGTGTCGAGACACCAATCCTGAGACCAAATTTTAATATTCCGAGATACCAACCCAAAGTCTAAATTTTAACATTCCTCTGTCATGCCATACCGTTTTTTCGCATAGCAACAACAGCAAGGACTGAAGAAAAAACGAAGAAACTGAACGAAAAAGTGGGCAGTGCCTACCCAGGTTCAGTTAAATTTTATGATATTAAGGCAAACACATATAAACTGAGCGTGTAATGCATGTTTTCGATAATTGTATTGTTATTCCTTGGCATGATTATTATAGACCAATCATAGCCTATATAAGAAAAACGTCATTTTCTTCGTTTCTTTGTACTCTCTACCTTCCTCATCTTCTGCTGACTTGCGACCCTCAAGTCCCCATGGAAAAAAAACCATCAGCTAGCTATGCCGCCCACCGGTCGTGTAAATGATTTCAGCTACCCATCTCCGATTTATCCCTTTTCCATCCGATTACCGCCCGTGAATGTAAATCGCTGTTTTGCCGAGTGACGACACCCCGGTTGAAGGACACGTGTCGAGGTGACGTCACGGACCCCACGTGCCTCGTAGTAAACTCGTGCAGCCACGTGGCTTCCCTCTTGCCAATCCCCACCTTCATTTCATTTTAGACTCGGCCAAGGTTTCTAAGGATTGAACAAAAACCCGATCGAAAATTGTGTTCAACACTTCATTTTGAACATTATTTTATTTATTAACCGCAATAAACAATAATATTGTAATAAATATTGCAGAAAAAATATTAAATAAGTTTTTAGTACCTACCTATAAAAAAAAAATTTATAAACGATACCAATAGAAATAATATATTTTTAATTTTTATCATTAATAACACAATAAATCATGCAAATACTAACTTATTTAGGCTAAAATATTAGGTAAAAAATACTATTTTATTTAATTTTATTAAAAAACAAAAAACAAAATAATTTCATTTTACACTCAGCCAAGGTTTCTAAAGATTGAACATAAACCCGATCGAAAATTTCGTTCAACACTTCATTTAGAACATTATTTTATTTATTAACCGCAATAAACAATAATATTGCAATAAAAATTGGAGAAAAAATATTAAATAAGTTTTTAATATCTACCTATAAAAATTTTTATAAACGATACCAATAGAAATAATATATTTTTAATTTTTATCATTAATAACAGAATAAATCATGCAAATACTAACTTATTTAGGCTAAAATATTAGGAAAAAATTATTTAATTTTATTAACAAAAAAAAAAATCATTTCATTTTACACTCGGCCAAGGTTTGTAAGGATTGAACAAAAAACCCATCGAAAATTGTGTTCAACACTTCATTTTGACCATTATTTTATTTATTAACCGCAATAAACAATAATACTGCAATAAATATTGGAGAAAAAATATTAAATAAGCTTTTAATACCTACTTAAAAAAAAATTTATAAACGATACCAATAGAAATAATATATTTTTAATTTTCCTCATTAATAACACAATAAATCATGGAAATAGTAACTTATTTAGGCTAAAATATTAGGTAAAAAATACTATTTTATTTAATTTTATTAAAAAACCAAAAAAAATTATTTTATTTAATTTTATTAAAAAACAAAAAAAATTTTTAATTTATTTTTCATTCGGCCAAGGTTTTTAAGGATTGAACAAAAACCCGATCGAAAATTGTGTTCAACACTTCATTTTGACCGTTATTATATTTATTAACCGCAATAAACAATAATATTGCAATAAATATTGGAGAAAAAAAATTAAATAAGTTTTTAATACCTACCTATAAAAAAAAAATGTATAAACGATACCAATAGAAATAATATATTTTTAATTTTTCTCATTAATAACCCAATAAATCATGCAAATACTAACTTATTTAGGATAAAATATTAGGGAAAAAAATACTATCTTATTTAATTTTATAAAAAAAAATCAAACAGTTGAAGACTATTCAGCTACTTAGAAAACTAGTTTTGATCATAGTTTTTTATTGTTTTAATATGTTTTAATTAAATGTAATTCGGCAAATATATATTTACATTATAGGAAGTCCAAGTTGGTTAGAAAGCTTTAAATCATAGTTACAAGTCCATGCCTAAGTGTTAAGAAAATTGAAAATATTATATTTAATAAATAATTTAAATAAAAAAATTAACAGATGGTCTCATTTGACCACTTGTAATAAATAAATATATGATATAAACTGATATAAAATATATGATATAAAATAATAAACGAGCAATCTGTGCATATTTTGCAAAATAAATATTTACAACTAACCGATTTATAACAAAGTTACGTTTTGTTTTTCTTATACACACAATTTGTATACAGAATATACAAGAATGTTTTTTGAAAATATTTTTTTATTGTCACTTGTTAGGCTTCTTTTCTTACTCAAAACTCAGACCCGACAAATGACACAATAAAAATGTTCCAAAGAGGAAATTAAAGGATAATGGAAGGCAAAATTAAAAGAAGTCCTACTAACAATAAGACTAAGTATATAAGTTTGAATATAAAATAAATTCCAATTATGCAACTATTTTTTTTTTACTTGCAGGTCAAAGAATACACTTAAATCCTTTTCAATTAGACAACAAAATTTTTTAAAAGATGAACAAATTTGTTTACTTTTTAAGATTTTTTTATTCAAATTTGCGCAAATGTAATGCTGTATTTTAGCGTCATACCGTGTTTTACTTAAGAAAAATATATCTTTTTTCAACGTTTTAGTCTGTTTGTTTATTTTTATATATTTTTCTTGCGTTTCGTATTTTTATTAATTTTTTTTTATTAAAAGGGTAAAATGGTAAGAATTGATTTTTTCAAATTTGGTGATTCTTAAATTTTTTTTTTTTTTTTTTTTACATTAGATTGTTTTACTTTTTGTACTTACAGCATTAATGATTCTTTTAAATTAAGAAAAGTGACTATGTAGAAAATTGAAGTTATGTATTTTATTGTATTTTGTTTTCAGGTAGGGCCAATAGAATTATGATACAAAGTAAAATATTTTTCTATCACTATGGAATGTTTGTTTAGTGTATATATATATATACTTTCGCAACGACAAAGCGCAATTAATTTTTAATAATTTTCACGAAAATTATCAATTTTCCAAGCTTTAAAACTTGAAATTTAGATAAGTTAAATTTTGCGAATCATTTTTTAAAAAGTTATTAAAAATTATAAGAAAAACACCAAAAACCAAAATATAAAAAAAAAAACTTACAAAATAATAATAATGATCGTGCTGCAGTTTGCGTAGTTGGGTTTGTTGCTGAACCAACGGTTTGTCGGACGGACGGGAATATACTGAGCCGGGAGAGTCGTCAACAGGGTTCAACTACACCCCCCGCCACTTTATCACTATGATTAAACAAAAAAAAAAAAGGTTAATTTCTATGCAGACGACTTTTTTTACATTAATTAAACTCATAAAGGTAATTAATTACACCAAGGACGAACAATTAATACAGGGTTAAACATATTTATTTTTCTTTCCATCCTTTGTAAACCTTAGTTGTTTAAGATTCTAATTGTTTAATATTTAGTCTCTTGTTGAGAAATTAATTTACATATCGATTCCGAAGGAGTCGAAGAAGAAGACAACTTAAAAATATATAATACTTGAAATAATATACAAAAGAAAATACAATTATTGAAGAAGGGTGGCAGGAAGAAACCCCCGAAATCAATACGAATAAAAAATTTAAAAAAAGGAGTGGCTGTTTATTCCTTTAAATAACTTAAATTAAATGAATTTGATTGAATTGAAGGCTAATTATTCTTGAAAAAGAACCTAGAAACTACATTACTAAATAATGGCAGCAAAAATTTGATTGGATACCTGAAGCGTATAAATGTATGTAAGAATGTATTTATTAGCGTGAATGGGTAAGTTTGTGGCGGAGTATAGAGTACCCCACAGACCCGCAAAATTAGGTTAGTTGTTTTATGGTCCTGAATTGTATTTATTGGTTTGATAGGTTGTGTTGAGTGCCTGTTTGGGTGGTTTGTGGCGTACTTCATACCTACACATCCAAATCGCACAATTCACAAACTATATGGACGACAATCCACACTACAAGCCGCAGAAGCAATCCAAAATTTGAATCTCATTAACGACTGGTGAACTCGGCTGATCAAGTTGAGTGCACAATGCAACAAGATAATTCCTCCAACCAACATACAACATGGAACCACATATAATATTAAAAAGATAAGAACTTAACAAAAGATATAGACTACTCAGATACCTACTGAGTCCGAAATCAACACTAAGCATAACAAAACATTCATCAGACAAATTCTCCAACATCCAACGACTCCAAACTTTGTTGAACCGGCACACAGGCACTACTGGATCTGTCTTCACTCGCAGGTTTTTTTTGGTTTGAGTTATTCAAACACGTTCGGCATTGCGCCATCTTCAGTGAGAAACTGTCATTCTGTCTGAGTACGGTCTCTTCTACGTCACCATTCCAATGATACATAAAGATCTTAAAATTCCCTTAATTTCCACTTTTAACTATCACACCACCTTAACCCCAAACTCTTTCCGCAACAATCTACCCTTATAATATATAATAATAAATATAATAGTGTAAAACGACGATGGCCTCGTGACTTCCATCACTGGCTGGTTTCTCTCCCCCTGCCTCCTGGTCTGACGATCTGTCAAATTTGTATCTAATCATATATACTATTTTCTCAACGATTATATATTTTGTACAGAGAGTAATAAATAAAATAGGTAAATAAAATAAACCTCTAACTTTAACTTGAGTTGGTTTCTTGCGTTTTTGCACAGCGAAAATAGGCGGACGGAGTCAAAATGGGTCAATTTTTTGCCTTGTACTTTGTACATCTAGCAATCACTCCAAATCGGTTGATCATAGCTGATCATCATTTCATCAAAATAGTGTGTTAAGGACTCAAAAAATCTAACTTATAAAATGTTTATTTTTTTGATCGTGATGTGCGGTATGGTGTGACATAGGTTTTAGACAAACATTTCCTTTATCATGCAAACGTTTCGATCTCTATTGAGATCATCTTCAGGGCCTGGGATTTATAAACATTGTTTAAATTTTACAAATACAAGTAGGATGTGAAAAAAGAATTTATACAATGTTAGTAAATTTTATATTTAAAAAAAAATTATACAATGCTAGAAAATTTTAGATTAAAAAGATAAATTTATACAATGCTAGAAAATTTTAGATTAAAAAAAATGAATTTATACATTATATTTATACAATTTTATTGAATCTAAAATTTTCTAGCATTGTATAAATTTTTTTTTTAATCTAAAATTTTCTAGCATAGTATAAATTATTTTTTAATCTAAAATTTTCTAGCATTGTTAATTTTTTTTTAATCTAAAATTTTCTAGCATTGAATAAATTTTTTTTTAATCTAAAATTTTCTAGCATTGTATAAACTCATTTTTTTCACATCCTACCTGTATTTGTAAAATGTAAACAATGTTTATAAATCCCAGGCTCTGAAGATGATCTCAATGAAGGTCGAAACCCTGGCATGATAAAGAAAATGTTTTTCTAAAACCTACGTCACACCAGACCGCACCTCACGATCTCCAAATAATCATTGGCTAACGGTCACTAAAATACCACACATTTATATAATGTGTGAAGCATGACAAATACTGACAATCACTGTAATGCCATCAACAATTATTATTGATTTACTGACAGTGAAGCAGCAGGTGTTCAATGATACCACATAAAACAAAGATTGAACACAGCCAAATCAGGTTGATACTTTATATAATTTATTCTACTAATCATGCTATTAAACGAAGAACAGCAAAGTACAGAATGAAGGATTTGGTAGGAATGAAGGAAGGATAGCTCAATTGATAAGATTTCTTTTTAAGCCATTGTTAATTTTTCTTTCACCAATTTTGTTTAGAATTTGTTTGGGCGACGATCGGGAGTCATGCGATATTCCCATTAAGGCCCATCGTCCCGTTACCTATGGCAGCGGTAACGGGCATAACAAAAATTGACAAAAGCAGTGCATCATTCTCGGGATGAAAGAGTGATGGATTTGTTTCTGGCAGGACACACCAGCCGGGGGAGTACGAAAACCCCTTTCGACGGTGTACTCCCGGTGTACGAACCGTTGAACCTATCGAACAGAAAGTCAGACAAATTTCAAGACGACAGGTTCAAATTGAGACGAACCAGCTCCATCGTGGATATTTTGAACAGCGAAAGCCAAGCGAAAAAACTACACTCTGCCCTACACAGCGTAGATGGAGAAGTGGGCACAATTATTTCAATATTGTCGAGAATGTCCCAGTACCAGAGGACAAGGATTCTTCACTACTACAAATCTCTATTCGGAAGGGTAAATACAAATTTCATTAAAACGTCTCATATTGTGATGGGTAACATTGACAATAATATAAAGTTTACAAGTTTAAAATAGTTGTAAAAAGAAAGAAAAGCCTCCATTAGTAATGAAGAATTTTAAATCTTCCTTATATTTTATTAGGTTTCGTAGTCCGCTTGGCCAAATAAATTCTTTTTCAATTAATTAAGGTTTTAGTTGAGATAAAAAAAGTCATTGTCACAAGCGGGATTCGAACCAACGACATTTGGCTAAATACACCGCTGCTCTACCACTTGAGCTATCGTGACTTCGATCCACTTATTTCTCAACTAAAACCTTAATTAATTGAAAAATTATTTATTTGGTCAATCGGGCCACGAAACCTAATAAAATATGAGGTAGATTTAAAATTCTTCATTATTAATGGAGTTATATATATTCATATAATTGGTACAATTACTATTATTGGTTATATATAAATGAAATATAACTAATATTTTTTATATCAAAACCTACGGAAGCAATTTTACTGGGAAATAATTTGATTTTAGAAACTTTCAACCGATATGAAAAATGTACTCGGGGGCGATTTTTGTGATGCTTGCCTCATGTTAATATCCGATCCAAAAGTGATTGCTTGCAAACAAATCTACGATTTACTCATTGTATGTATCAATAAATAATGAGATATTTAAAAATATTGTCAATACAACCGAATTGTTGTCAGGAGTTTCCATTTCCAAGGGAAGAAAGATTGATTTCAATACTCTGTGAAAGATCAAACGAGGAGATACAAATTATTCAACATACCTATGAGAAGAGTAAGTAGAAAAATATTAATATTGATAATATACAAAACTTTTAATCAAAGCATGCTTTTGTCGTGATATGATGATATTTGAAAACAGAGTTTGGTGAATCCCTGGAGAAAAGTTTTTTACACTATCTCGACTCAGAGAAAGCCAAATTCATCAAAATACTCGTCAATCCTCTCCGACAGGAAGACTGGTCGCTCAATTCTCTCCAGGTGCACGTCGATGCCCAAGTATTTATTTTAAAATATCTTTTACAATGAAATCTTGGAAGCGAACGTTTTCAACGACAAAAGTTTGGTTTTAGAATCTGCTCAATTTAGGGATAGGCGTTTCCTACGGCGACAGCCCTAATCCGATAATATATTCGCTGCTGAGGAAAAGGGGTTTCAACCACCTAAGAAATGTTTTTGCCGAGTACGAAAGGTTGACTGGGAAAAAAGTTTGGAACATGCTGGAACCCGCCATGCCGCAGAACTGCAGGAAGATATTAGTTTTGATAAGTCAGTACTGAATTTTTTCTATTGCTATAAAAATGAAAAATCACTGTTGTCAGGCAAATTATTCAAATTACAGCCACATTACTCCAACACACAAACTTCCAAACGAATCAAACTTGAGCAATGTTTTTATGTTTGACAGTTTCCCACTTTTTTAAATAAATAAAAACGTATTTTTCAGTACATCGAACAATTAAAAAGAATAGGCATGATACATTTACTGTTGGGCCAAAGCCTATATGTGTACGGAATGTAGATAAAGGTTGCTCGATTTGTCCCATCTTGAATGGTGCAATTCCCTGGCTCCTTATATAGAGCGCATAGGGTTGCCACCAGAAATGAGAACCTTTTTTGAGCACAAGAGTATTTGGGTTCCTATATCCGATTCTTGGAAGAAACAGGTTGTTTTATGTCTAACGTGTGTTGAAAGTGAATGTATTTATTGGCATGAATGTGCAGTGTGAGTGGGACGATAGTGGAATATTGAGTAACCCTATTGACCTATTCGAATTAGGTTAGTTAAATAATATATGTAAAGGGTGATTGGAGGAATATCAGGTATTCCAGCATTCTGAGTGAATGGTATATTATAAAATTAAGAAAGAATGTTTTTCAGAATGAGTAAGAGTGAGAAAGGGTTTAGAGCCTGATTGAATTGGGGGCTGAAATGACCTAGCTTTTGATAGAGCTCAACCTCGAGAGCTGGTCGGACAAGACCGAGGTCTGATCCCTAAGACTACCAACTACTCGGAATGGATGATTTCTTGAGGCCTTGAATGTAATTTGTTGTAAATTATGATGGAATTGCCGGTGGCAGTGATAGGCTCAACTTTGTACTTGCGTGTGCAGATTTGAGCCTATATAAATCTGTAATCAGTACCTGTGTAATACCGCAGGGCAGTGTGCTCGGACCTATCCTCTATATACTTTATTGCAGATGTTCCCACTACACCTACAATCCTCATTGCATCATTTGCCAATGACACAGCTGTACTATCCTTTAACCCCTATCCTGTGGTTGCTTCGAAAGATCTGCAGAGATCACATCAGAAGATTCATTTAGCGTTACCTTGGGCACCATCAGACACACATGAAATTAGCACAAACGACTGAAAAGACAAGACCTAAAAAGATCTAGGATATTATAGAATGACAATCCAAGCTATCGACGAAAAATAAGCTTACAATCTACAAACTGCTACACCAACCGATTTGATTATAAATGTGTACTGTGGGGTACTACTAAACCTTCCAATATCCTTTCAGTCTAAAGTCCTCAGATTAATTATAAATGCTCCGTATTTTGAATGCTTTCGAATTTTGAAAAATGGCAAAAAGGAAGGAAAATTCGAAAGGTTGTAGGCTGAGATGGGGAAGTGGTGTCCGAGTGGATCGAAGTCACGAGAGAAGTGGTTAGAGCAGCGGGGTATTTAGCCGAAGGTCGTGGGTTCGAATCCCGCTCATGACACTAACTTTTTCATTTCAACCAAAACCTTACATAAAAAGATTAATTAATTGAAAGAAGTAATTTGGTCAATATACCACTAAATATAATGGATTTAATAAGTAAAACGGTTCCAATATAACCCCCACAACCATAAAATCTGATTTATCCAAAAATTAATTACCCAAAAATTTACCAAGTTCCACGATCAACTCTCCCATCACCACAATAGTCTCGCCCAAACTTTGCTCAACCGAACCTATCCCTACAATCTCATAAGGCGTCTTAAGAGGAAGTGGTACCGCAACTACTTTCTGAGGAAGTGAACTTTATTTAATAAAGTGGGAGAATAATATTGATTATTTGTTCAACGTCCATATGTAAATATTTGTAAATATATTTATGCATCATCAAATTAAATGTAATCAGAAATTGTAGATTGTGATAAAATATTTTGTAAAATAATTTGTAAATGGACAATATTGTAGCTATTATTATTAATGGTTTATTTTTTGCAATATTACAAAAAAAATCGTTACTGTTATATAGATATTTTTCAATAAAATAAATGAAATAAAGTAATAAAAGATGTTAAAATTATGACAACTTGTCTTTGTCTGTAAAAAATGTCTGTTTTTGAATTTTCGTAAAATTATATGCTTTTATTTTTTTAAATATTTTTTTAGTGGAGGCTGTGAATAATCCAGAACTATTTACGGCCAAAGTTTTGCTCTCTTCTACTCCAAATTTTGCCGAGTTCTACAAAACACTTCTTGTAACACGGCTGACAAGGAATAAAGTAAGCCTAATCAAATTTTTAAAAATAATACTTCTCTCTAATCTCTAATTGTTTACCACCAGGAATTTTACAACCTCGTCGAATACAGGTTTACGGAATTCTGCAACAGGAGGATATCGGACGTGGTCAAAAGCGAAGATAACAGCGCGCTCAGAACTCTTCTATTGGGTTGTCCGGAAAATAATGCAGGATTTTGGTATTAAACAAAAAAAAAGAAACTAGTTACTTTAAAGCAATGTTCTTTAATCAANATACAAATGAGTAATCCTGTAAACGTAAACAGAATATTTTATATAGATTTTTTTTAATGAAAACTTAAAATCCTGCATTATTTTCCGGACAACCCAATACTTTCACTTATGTACTTATGATATTCTGAATAAATGTTTTTATGTTTCAAATAAAAAATAATTTTTGTTGTATTTGAACCAAATAATCTTAACTTTAACGTAATGCAAGATTATTATTAGAAGTTACTTAAACTTCTTTTATACAATCCCGATTAATAATACTGAAAGCACATCAATTTTTTTCTTTTTCTTTATCTATTCTGTTGGTGAAGAGGAGCTGTGCTTGTTGCCCACCGTAAAATAACTACACCAAATTTCAATTTCATGTATGCACTCGACCATAATACGTTTTCAATAAAAAAATAGGAATTTTGGTCCAATTTCTGGAAAAATACCGCATTTGATGTGCAGATGCTGATGAAAAAAAAATAGCCTTGATCAATATTGGTATTGATTATAAGTTGATTTTCATGATATTGGTGTATGTATAATAAAGAAAAAATTATATACATTGTGACAAAATCCTTTGACAGAGTACATTTCTCGACTAGTAGAAGAAATAGCTGGAATTTTCCATTTTTCAGAAGGAGAAGACAGTTGTGCACTGTCGTAGAAGAGGCCCAAAATTAATTTCTGTCAATTAATTAATCTTTATGTAAGGTATTGGTCGGGATAAAAAAAGTCAGTGCCACGAGCGGGATTCGAACCCACGACCCTCGGCTAAATACGCCGCTGCTCTACCACTTGTGGTTTTTTATCTCAACCAATACCTTACATAAAGATTAATTAATTGAAAAAAGTTATTAGGCCAATCGGACAACGAACTCTAATGGAATTAATTTCTGTTTTAAGACCTCACTGTGATCCTGTGTTGTACCTTCTGATCTCTCCTTGTGTTGAGCCAGGATGGAACTCCAAAATTACTCACAACAGCCTGAGAAAAAACCCATCGTGAACTACAATGTTACCTGCATAAATCAGGCATCTTATATTCAGATTGCCAATCCTTATACCACCTACTATATATTCATAGAGATCGTTTAAAAAAATTACAAAGAGAAGAGAAGATAATTTGCATCCATTTTGATTGTGTATGTAAAAATAAAACCGTTTTCAAAATTGACACAATAAATAATCGTGTTTTTTATACACTATTTTAACTGTTCACAGAAAAAAATGTATATTTAATATAGTTATGTATTTATATTTTAAAAGTATGGAAGATAAAATCCTAACTTTTTTTCCTATTTCTGAGATTTTTGCATTATACATAATGATGATTAAGTTATGCATTGAAATATGTAAGAATACATTTTTTTAAGTAGACACCGCGACTTAGCAGAAAGTTAATCATTGGTTAAGGAATTATGAGTTACCTAAAAAACTGGTAGAAAGGAATGAGTATTTAATAAATCCAACTACTTCAACTTCATGTTGAATATGTAATTATGGGTTATCTGGAATATTTTTTGGATGAGGCATGTTTGAGTGACTGCATATCCCAAATAAAAAAGTGTCTGTTTCGGTTTCAAATAGTTCTTTAATTTAAGAGTGGCTCATTACAAGTTACATTCCAGAAAATACGACCAAACCTCTTTAACGTAAGTCGACTGTACAACAGGAGTCGTGAGACCCTGGCATCTCCCCCCCCATAAAATTATATTTATTCAACGTAATTACTGGCTTCGACGAACGTAAATGAACTGAACGAGGACATTGCAAGATTTCCTGCATGATTTGCAAAGTTTCCGGCACGTTCTAGAAAAAAACAACAACATGTGGATTCATGATCACTCTAGTCCATGGAGTTCTTTGTTTTGTAAGTTGGGGAGAATGAGGGAGGAGTCTAAGAGTAAAGGTGGCTGGAAATCATTTATGGAGGAAAATCATCCAAGATTTAAAGCTGTTAAAGCTAAATTAAAACAGAAAAATAGAAATAAACCCTAACGAATTGCTATTGCCAATTATTAAAGGACAATCTCTTATCAAACAGTCTGCATCCTAGTTGATGGCACGCCAAACATTCCAACAATCCAAACTGGAAAAAATTCGAGAATTCTGAATTTTAAAAGGAATAAATAGAATATTTTTTGAAGGGAAGGGGAAAGGAGAGTGAATAAGAATGAGTGTATGAGTGAGAAAAAAAAATAAATAGGTAAACAAATATATTTTTTAAAATTTCAAATTTCTCAAACCAATCTAGTTCCCTCCCTTTGTTGAAATTGTGTCACACTGTTGTTCAAAATCAAAAATAGTAGGTAAATCTAGGGAACAAACAAAAAAACCAAAATTTTCGGATATGGGACGAACAACACCTATTGAATAGTTTCCAGCAAACTTCGAATCTGGAAACAGTAATAGACGAAATAGCTCACATAGAATTTAAGAAGCCCTACAAATTAATCGAAGTCACCTAGGAAAATGTCTTGAATTTAAAGGTATGCTGGTATTTCAATCAAAACTTTAATAAATTCGAATCAACCTTCACGACTAATTACAATTAATTAAGGTTTTTTGGAGGAAAAAAAAGTCAATGGCACGAGCGGGATTCGAACCCACGATCTTCGGCTAGATACGCCGCTGCTCTACCACTTGAGCTATCGTGACCTCGATCCACTCGGACACTAACTTCCCATCTCAATCCCACCTTTTGAATTTTCCCTCCTTTTTGCCATTTTTCAAATGTCGTGTAATCGGGTTGGATAAGTGGTAGCAGCGGCGTATCTAGCCGAAGATCGTGGGTTCGAATCCCGCTCGTGCCATTGACTTTTTTATCTCAACCAAAATACCTTAATTAATTGTAATATATTAATTGGCCAAGCGGAATTAGTGAACTTCACGCGACTAAGTTAAGAAACTGAAAAATTAAACTAAGCCACAACTGATGGAAATTATTCAAATTTTCAAGACAGCCCAGGAGACAACACGATCCAAAATTACTTGAAATACGATCAAACGAAAATTCAATTAACGGAATTCTAGAAGATACCCAAAATTTATAACTTAATAATAAGAATTATTTTTTTGAGTCGGGAGAAAATTACCTGAGTACCACCTCTGACCATAACCGAAAACAAACTATCCTATTTATTATTCCCAAACTTTTTGAAAATTCTTATTGAGACCGGAAGTACAAAATCGTTTATCAACCCTGAGGTTAAATCTGTGAAGGGAGGAGTTATAGGAAATTGTCAGATTGCAATACAAGGTTCAGGTGTTCTTCCTAGTATTGTAACCATAACCCTTTCCCTTCACAGAAACGTTATTTTACATATTTATTTTCAATTAATTAAGGTTTTGGTTGAGATAAAAAAGTGAGAGTCACAAGCGGGATTCGAACCCAACCTTCGACTAAATACGCCGCTGCTCCACCACTTAAGCTATCGTGACTTCGATCCACTCGGACACCAACTTCCCATCTCAACCCCACCTTTTGAATTTTCCCTTCTTTTTGCCATTTTTCAAATGTCGTGTAATCTATTTGATTCTCGGCGACAAAAAGGAGGGAACATTCAAAAGTTTTTTTTCAAATTCAAAAGGTCGTGGGTTCTAATCCCGCTTGTGACACTCACTTTTTATCTCAACCAAAACCTTAATTAACTGAAAAAAAATTATTTAGTCAAGCAGACCACGAAACCTAATAAATTGTACATATTCTTAATCTTAATGAAAAAAGCCGATTTGTATGTCGGGTTCGAATACAGGGCCGTTGGATTCGAACCCAGGACCTTTAGCTTACAATTATGAGTGCCGTGTCAACGCCTCAACCACCGACGCCTCTGATTCATCACTCGCCTATCTATTAGTGAAATGAACATCATTGTAGTAGGTTAAACTTGGGTGTTGAAAAGAAAGTTTATAAAAAGAAATCAAGAAGTATAGTAATTAAGATTAATGGTTTAATCCAGATATTGTTTTTTTTTAAACTGGTTTATTGGAAATTATGGAAATTTATATAAGGTTATAGAGATTTCTCAGTTTTAGACTTTCGAAGACCTGATCAATTTTTTTTATTAATTTCCTTTAGAGTCCTAGGGATTTTGGGGTGATTATCCCACCTCAGACAAAAGAAAGGGGGCGCAAGTGTAATACATTTAATTTATCACCACAAAGGCATGTTGCAGTATAGATTTTTTCCATGAGGTGCTTTTGGGTCATATTTGTGTGCCATATACGTAATCGACCTAGTACGACCTCATCACGCCTGGAAAGTGGAAGGATGTTTCCCAAGGTTTAACAGCCTCTTTTATGATTATTTGAAGATCGTGAGATGCGGTCTGGTGTGACGTAGGTTTAGAAAAATATTTTCTTTATCCTGCCAACGTTTCGATATTTATTGAGATCATCTTCTTCTGATTTTCTAGCATTGCACAAATTCATTTTTTTACATCCTACATGTATAATATAAACAATGTTTATAAATCCCAGGCCCTGAAGATGATCTCAATGAAGGTCGAAACATTGGCACGATAAAGAAAATGTTTTTCTAAACCTACACCAGAGTGCATCTCACGATTTCCAAATAATCATAAACTAACGGTGACTAAACATCACACAAGCCGTTCTTTCTTTGTTTCTTAATTTGTTGGAAGTGGTTTGTTTCCACGGATTTTCCCAATTTTCAATTAATTTAAGTTTGAAAGCAGACTTTATATCTTCAGGACTCGTTAAAACTGAGATGATGGTTCTGTGCAGCTAGCTCATTTCCCTTAATTCCGATATGACTTGGAATCCAAATCTCGTAAATCGTTCAAAAGATGGTCTGAAGTCAGACAGATTTCGATCTAAAGACGGAACAGGAAATATTAACCAATAAATTTCGAAATCATTGCCATTTCCTTGATTGTATTTTTATTAACGTATTCTAAACATATCATACAACTGTAAAATATTTTTTGGTCCTTAAATCTTTTAGCATTAGCATAGAATTTATTAAGCTTAATAGTTAATTTTATGCAATTGACTTTAGCCGGTCAATTTCGTACAAATAGACCTGGAAAAAAAATGTTTGTATTTTTGATAAAAACGGGTTAAAACCGGCGAGATTACACTGGGAACTAATACAATTGAAGAGAGGGGGAATGAAAGGATTTATAAACGAGTCGCTTCTTGAGCGCTGACTGAAAAAGTTCTCCCGCGAGTGAAGTTGTGCGAAGTCCGAGCCTGAGTACTGACAGATGGAAAGGGTCGACTAGATTCGAAAGCAGGTGTGTCCCTTATAATTCTTCTATTATATCGTCCAATATGAATTAATACGGATCGTCTTTTCTATTTAGTTCGCCGTTCCGTGGTATCAGCTTTTTCAAGGGTAACCTATATTTTTGGTGTCAAGGTATTCGCGACACAAACTTTGCAAGTGAATTTCACATCTCAACAACAACAAAAATGCCCGTTTGAAACATGGTCCGACAATCAACTCTTCCGCAGATATTCAACGTTTTACATTATTTTTTTCAATTATCAACGGTTTTTGTCATAAATCAACTCGTAGCTCTTGAACTATTAATTTTTTGGGAAATATAAAAATAAAAAATAAGCTAAATTTGCAACCTTGATTGGAAAATTTCATAACAAATTCTTCGTTTAATAAGCCTTCAAGTGGTATACCTTTTCTTTAATCACATCGAACCAAAATGCTGAAATTTTATGCTAAATGGGAAAAAAATTGGTGACGGTGTGAAAACAGTGGAATGGGAATGATCTAGAAATTCAACTTTTTGGCATGGACAAAATTTATTGCCCTACTCGAAATTAATGAAAAAACACCAAAAGAAAAAAAATACATAAAAAAGAGACAATAAACATAGCGAACAACCAAAGTAAGAAAATTGGACAAAAAAGCTTTAAAACCGAACTCTCACATAATAAAAAAAAAGGTAAAAATCAAACAAAACACAAAAAAAGACAATAAACATAACGTACAACCAAAGAAACAGAATTGGACAAAGAAAGTTTTAAAACCTAACTTTGACATAATAAAAAACACACAAACAGAACAAAGAAAGTTTTTAAAACTAACTCTAACATAATAAAAAAACACAAAAAAAGAGTAAAAATCAAACTAAACGAATAAAAAGAAACAATAAACATAGCGAACAGCCAAAGCAACAGAATTGGACAAAGACAGTTTTAAAACCTAACTCTGACATAATAAAAAACACAAATAAAGAGTAAAAATCGAACAAAACACACAAAAGAGACAATAAACATCCAAAGAAACAGAATTGTACAAAGAAAGTTTTTAAAACTAACTCTAACATAATAAAAAAACACAAAAAAAGTAAAAATCAAACTAAACACATAATAATTCAGAAATCGTGAAATGCGGTCTGGTGTGATGTAGGTTTCAGAAAAACATTTTCTTTATCGTGCCAACGTTTCGATCTTTATTGAGATCATCTTCAGGGCCTGGGATTTATAAACATTGTTTACATTTAACAAATACATTTAGGATGTGGAAAAGTGAATTTATACAATGCAAAATATATTTTTTATATTCAATCAAAATATTTCTACTTTCTCAAAGTGTTTGTCTTCTGTGTAATTGTGCCATTCTTGCATATATCTATCGATTAACGGTCACTAATCACCACAGACTAAACACATAAAAAGAGACAATAAACGTAGCGTACAACCAAAGCAACAGAATTGGACAAAGAAAGATTTAAAACCTAACACTAACATAATAAAATAAAAAAAACACAAAAAAAGAGTAAAAATCAAACTAAACACATAAAAAAGAGACAATAAACATAGCGAACAACCAAAGCAACAAAATTGAACAAAAACAAGTTGTAAAACCTAACATAATAAAACACACACACACACAAAAGTGTTCATATCAAACTAAACACATAAAAAGAGACAATAAACATACCGAACAACCAAAGCGACAGAATTGGACAAAGAAAGTTTTAAAAACTAACACTAATATAATAAAAAAAGTAAATTTCAAACTAAACACATAAAAAAGAGACAATAAATATAGCGAAAAACCAAAACTATAGAATTGGACAAAGAAAGTTTTAAAAACTAATACTAACATAATAAAAAACTAAATAAAAAAAATCTAAATCAAACTAAACCCATAAAAAAGATATATAGTGAACCAAATTTGTTTGTTTTTGTGCTTGTTTATTAAGTTAAAGTTGGGAAATAAATTTTTTCCAGGAATAGAACAGAACAGAAAATACTTTATTTTTTTTACAAAATGTAGTTTACACCAGTGAATCTTATTTACATCCGATGTATATACGACTTGGGTTATAACCGTCTGTCGGAATCCATTACAATCTGTCATCAAACAAGGATTTACTATGTATCTACTCTCCTATACATACGTGACTCAAAAGAAAAAAATACTGAAAAACACTAGTATAAATGGTGAATAAAAAGATAAATAAAGACGAACCTTCTGGAGAATATTATCAAATGGAAACAGTACGACGCAAATTAATTTATCTGTTGTGGCTAAATCTGCCTGCCCATGAACAAAGTCGTACCTGTAGGTCTATACTTGGTGGGCGTATTGTTTGAGGGCCACGGCTTCTGAGTCGTCCAATAATTTAATTAGGTTTTTTGATAAGGTAAAATTCCCAAAGTGTAGTTTACGAATTTCTCCCAGAATAGTTCATTCATCAATAAAAGAGAACATTCTCCACAGCACGTGAGTTGCAGAGCGTACACATCGCCTACCACCCCAGAAGCGACATAGAGACTTCACGTACAGGACTTCACTACTGCATTTAATCAGCCGTCTAAAGTGACAATGATAATCCCTCAAAATTATCTTTACTTAAATTAAACTTACCTGTATTTAGGGAAATTTGCTGTCAATCAACTGACTAGATTTGCCCAATTTTAAACATTCGCAACGGTTTGGCTGGTGATCCAAACAGCCGATGTTTTCCCTAGATGGAAGGTCTGGCCATATTTTTTCTCCATTGTGAGAACCAGAAAACTCTCTGTTGATAATTTCAGTGGCAGTAATTTTGGTCAATCTTGATTCGGGCAGCAAGCGGCCTAAAAACGTTTATATATAAAATATACTGTCATACTGTTGAAACCCCCAAACTTGACACCCATAGCAAATGATGGAACGGCCCATAGCTTTAAGACATCAAATTTTGATTTGATTGGGACGATAACCAGGTTGACCAGATCCTTTTAAGGGCTAACACCTAAATATTTATAATCGTTGATTACTTCAATCCGTTCCCTTCGAAGTTCCAATGGTTAGAACTCTAATCTTCCACTTTTCCTGAATACTAATACGTTTGATTTTTTAAGGTTTATAGTGAGTGATGTCCTATTGTTGACAGTAAGCTTCCAGTAATTTAATATTTCTTTATAGGGTTTAAGCGTTCTATGTAAATAATATTACAATATCGTCTGCGTTAAATTTTTATGGTGGTGCTTCCTATTTTTTTATACCATATTCCAAAACTTGGGGCAGGTTGTCTAAGAATAGAGCCAACAACAAAGGACTTAAGAGTCAGCCCTGTCTAACACACTCCTTGCGGTTGATATAGATAAGAATTTAATTTAATTTAATTTTTTATTTGTTAAAAATATTTATTTTATTTATAGCATTATATTTGTATTTATTTTTGATTATAAATGCATATAAATGTTTTGTTGTTAAATTCCAACGACCTCTGACATACGGATTATAGATCCATTGTCTAATTAATGCTGTAAATTGTATAATATAATTTTTTTAATTAAAAAAAAAAGTATTGTTCGTTATTAATAAACAAAACACGCACACCAAATCAAAACAACACCACAAAAACATACATTAAATGGACCATATTCACATACCTAAGGAAAGAAACATAAACTAATTTATTCATCAAAATAAGCATAAAAACAGCACTGAAGACCATAACACCGCACACATATCGGAAAATTACTAAGACAAACCATCGCCAAACGGACCCACTAGCAAAAAAAAGACAGATACAATGGACACATAAAATCGTTAAGGGATGACGGAAAAACGAATTATGCGATTTATTTAATATAAAACAACAACGAACCATCGACAATACAAGCAAGCATGAATCTACTACATAACGTACAAAATGGACGAAAAATGAACATTCTCAAAAACGTAGAAATAAACTAACACAACGCATTATAAATATTATATATTAAGTAATAAAAACCCTGTTCATTTGTAAACAGCATTCCCCTTGTGATTTCTTTATTACTTTAATTATAATACCTGTGTTTTATGCGTGCATAAAAAATATGTGTCAAATCTATTTCAGTTGTTATTTGCTCTTTTTTACATTTTTCTAAATTACGAAATTACTTAGCGAGCTTAATATAACCCGTTTCTCAAAATATTTGCGTGTCATATCATCATGTCTGCTATTTTTTAGGCGAAAAAAATATTAATAATTTTTTCAATATATTTCCTGACATAGTAGGGCCCAAAAACGTTCGATCACGTTGACTGTTATGTACGAATGTGTACCCTGTGTTCGGTAAAAATAGTTATTTTTGTAATAATTTATTAAAAAGTTAATAAAACATTTCACTAATCTCTATGCAGTACAGAATTATTAACCTTTTGTTCCTCACTCTCACTCTCAAGTTACTTTTATTATATTATTTATTAGTTAGTTACTTTTATAATAATTTAAGCATCGTGTGTTTCAAAAGCACTAAGCAAAGCAATAGCCCACCGATGTTATGAAACGCAATGAACGGATCATGCTCACCTGTTTGAGGATAGGCCATACCTGATTGACTCACATTACTTTGGATGAAAACCCAATGCAGGTGTGCCACTTATTGAGAAGGTTGCTCAGTGTCGCACTTGGTAGAGGAGTGCCAGGCCTTGTTCCCTTATAGGGAGCGAGTAGGCATAGCACCTGATATAAAGTCTTGAGAATGAGAGTGTGATGTTGGGTCCCCTGTTTCTATTTTAAGAGAAATTGGAGTATTTCCCCATTTTTATGTAACGTACTATATATAAAGTCTGTATGTATATAGTTGTGTGTCTGTGTGAATAAGTAAGTGAGAGGGTAAATGGTGGAATATTGAATACCCTATCGCCCCTCACAGTGCACAGAGGGTGATGTGGCTCTGTTGTTGGTAGTCCTCGAAAAAACAATTCCTTGGACTTTCACCCGGAAAGATTGCCACTCTCCTACATGCTGACCCTCAGGTATATACATCAGGGCGTTCACCTTCCCCATCATGCAGCTGGGTTGCTAGTATCCCCCTTGAGCGAGATGATCCGGAGATTGTCGCTTCCCAACCAATGGGGGTAGGCTCCAGGGGCTTTTGACAGCTATGTCATTTCAGCCCCAATACAGCAAAATAATAATCTACCCTAAAACTAACATTTATAATACAATCGCACAAATAAATACATTCACACCTCTGTATATTTTGGTTAGTTGGTGGAGTATTTGATAGTCCTTCATCGGCTTGTACACAATAGTTAATCTAAATTTAAAGTAGGGTCAATAGAGTACTTTCATAAATTGACCCTACACGCACTGCTGAAGAGGTGATGATGACATATATTTCACCATCTCAACACTCCCACTAATGAATGCCCACACTCAGACAAAACACAGAACCCCAAAATGTACAAAACAGATCTAGGTTAAAAAAAAAATCATCTAAAAAGCAGAACAGGAGACTTGCTCTACCCGAGAACCATCCTTAAATCCGGTAGCATGCCTACTCACTCTCTGTAATGAGCCAAGGCCAGATAGGCTTCAATTATGTGAGACATATGAAGCAAACTTTTTCTGCATAAGGGGCACCTGCGCCGGCTTTAGCCCAGGAGCAGGTGCCTGTGAGTATGCCAGTTCTTGCTGGTTTTGTCCAGTAGACATCTTTCAGCAGTTACAAACTTCAGATTTAGTAAACAGATCATATAACTATTTTACTGAGTGAATTGTTATAAAGTAGTAAATATTTCATAAAATAGTACAACTTTATGTTGCCAGGGAATAATGCTGGAGACGATAATTTTGGGCATCATTGTCCTGTTATTTTTGTGGTGGCTGACTCAACCGAATGCCAGGTTTAAAAAATTTGGGGATGCTATACCAGGTCCACGGCCATATCCTTACTTCGGGGATATGCTGACTGCGCCGCTTACCGGCCCTAGTGAGACTCATTTGTGCTGAACACATGCAGTAATATTTGTTTTTCACAATACTTTTGCCTTAGATGCATTGGATAAACATGTGGCTTTAGCGAGGAAATACAATGGGACATACCGCCTTTACATGGGAAACATTCTTTCCGTTGTCGTCAGCTCACCTGAAGACATCGAGGTACTATTTACTATTCATCATCTGCTTTGTCTTTATATTACTTTTTTTTAAATAACTATTATTGTTTTTTAGGCAGTCTTGACTAGTAATAGTTTAATAAATAAAGCTTTCACATATGAATTTTTGCAATCTTGGCTTGGGACAGGCCTCCTCACCTCTACTGGTGAAATTTTTTTAAGAATGTCAAAGCGGGTGAACACTTAGTGACAAAAATTTTTGTTACAGGTGAGAAATGGCATGCACGTCGGAAAATAATCACGCCAACTTTTCATTTCAAGATACTTGACAAGTTCATCAACGTTTTCAACAAACACACAGACGTTTTGATCAAACGTCTCGAAAAACACTGCAGTCAAGAATCGTTCGATGTGGAGATGCTGCTAAAAAGATGCACACTGGACATCATTTGTGGTAACTTTAGATTTTCCCATGTAATACCCAAATTTGCTCCTAGTTGACATGTAAAACTTAATTAATATTTTTCTTATTCATTCAAATGAAGTTTTTTATGTTTTCAGAAACAGCAATGGGCATTGAAACAGATGAAAAAAGCTCTGTCATTGTAGATTATATAAAAAGTGTAGAAAGGTGAGAATATGGAGAAGTAATTGATAGTTAATATACATTTTAATGGTTTGATAAACAGGTATTTAAGAGTGAATGAGAGTGTGAATGGTTAGGATTTAGGAATTGATTGCGTTAGAGGCTGAAATGACCTAGCTGTTGATAGCCCCTGGAGCCCAACTTTGGCTGCTGTACAGAAAAAACGAGGAATGATTCTCAAGGCCTGCTGTAAATCACAAAATCTGGAATTGCTGGTGCACTGCGAGAAGTGATAGGCACATTTGAGCTTATATAAATCAGCATCAACAATGTTTTATACGTTAAGATTAGAAAAATCTGAAGCAATTATTTTAAAATGTGTGTTTATCAAATCAAATTACAGTTTTTAAAAACCTAATTCTGTTCAGTCAAGTCAGCTCTTGTATGATATGTCTACATGAATCCAAATTATTCATTTAAAAAAATATAATGTTATGTTAGGAAAACAAATAAAAAAGCTGAACCAAACATTGGAAAGTGCACATTTTCGATAAGCTTAAGTATTTTTCTCAGTGCCTCTTCGCATACCTCTTTTGGCATAAGAATTGCCCACTGAAGTGGCTGTTCCGTAAACTGGGCAATGCTTCACATTCACAAAAGATAGTGTGTCGACGTCTCCTCCTGACAGAGACCATTGTTCTGTCTATGGTTGGCCCATCTTCTTTAGGTGTGGTTAAGGAGGGCACTGGCTAGTATAGAGGGCTATAATTTTCCTCAAATTCTGCCTGAGAGAGAGCTCAGAGAGATGAAATGAAACAGAGCTAACATTAACATAAATGACATGCACCATTACTTCGCAAATTTGACCTTTGTAAGAGATAATTACACAGCAATTACAAAATTGTTTGACATGCAAACCTTTGTTCATGTCCAGAAGAGTGTAAATATTTTCAACTGGCCAAGGCCTTGAAATAAATAAATCAGGGAAATTGGATCTCTATTTTCTTAGGAGGCTGTCAGACAGAAAAGAAAAGAACCTAGGAAGCAATAGTTTATTTAAAGCATAATTTTAAATAATAAGAATTTGTATTGTTGTAGGATTATTCAGATTCTATCAGACCGCTTAACTAAACCTTGGCTCTTTAGCCCAATCACATATGCCTTGTCAGGAAGATATTTCATAGAACGCAAACTTTTAAAAACCCTGAAACTTTTTATTGATGAGGTAATATTATCATCTTTCTTCTTGTTTCATCTATTTTAAATTATATTTATTCATTTGATAACTTTTAAAATAAAAAATAATCTTAGGTTATTAACATGAAACAATCTGACGAAGCTGATACCAAATCAAGCAGCGAAGATTTTGATGATTTTGGAATAAAAAAGAAAACAGCCTTTTTGGAAATGCTGCTTAACATAAAATCACAGCCCAACACAATTATAGCAACTGATAAAGATATAATGGAAGAAGTTAACACTTTTATGTTTGCAGTATGTTTACTTATTTAAATTGTTTTGATTGAAACAGTAACCTGGAAATTTCCCTTTAGGGTCATGACACTTCTGTCTCAACTTTATGCTATTCCCTTTATCTTTTGGCGGTAAACCCAAAAATCCAGGTACACAAATTTGTCAGTAGCTCTTTTGGTTGATCAGTTAACGGAGACGATATTCCAATATCTTTTGCAGGACATGTTATACGAAGACTTGATCAAAACGTTTCATTCCAAAGATAAAAATTTCACACGTGAAGATCTTAATGAGATGAAATTTTTGGAGCGAGTCATTAAGGAAACATTAAGACTCTATCCAACGGTGCCATTTATCGGGAGGAATGCCAACGAGGATATAAAGTTACCTAGTCTGTAGTCTGAACTTCTTGTAAATGTTGATAATGCAAAAGTGATTTTTTCAGGCGGTTATGTTATACCAAAAGATGCTATGGTCATTGTCAACATAGCGTACAGTCACAAAAATGAAAAACAATATGAAAACCCTGACGTATTCAACCCAGATAATTTTTTGCCAGAGAATGTAGCACAACGCCATCCATTCAGTTTCATCCCATTCAGTGCAGGGCCTAGAAATTGCATGGGTACATTTTGTTTGTTATTGCTAAACTAAAAAAATGATGAAAATGTCATTTTGTATTTATTTATTTTTTTAAGGGCAAAGATTTGCACTGCTTGAAATAAAAACAATATTGGCAAAAATAGTTTTAAATTACAAAATTGAGCCAGCAAATGGAAATTTCAAACCTATGCCTGATGTAAAAATGGTCTTACATTCATGCACTGGTCACAAATTAAGAATTTCCAAAAGAGAAATGTAAATATGTATGGTCGGTCTAATTAAATGTATAAATTATTATTACAATAGATTGGTATATTATTTTACTTTTGTTTAATGTATGTATAATTCATATAATTATATAAATGTATGTATTATAATTATCCAGCAAAAGACAATATATACCTTGAATAAATACATTCATTTTACATAAATTTGTTTCTTTTAAATTTATAACTTATGTTTATGTTGTAAATTCTAGGGACTCCTAGAAATTGGCCAATTTATCTCTAATTCGTTGCCAAAATTTGAATTATCAACCTACCATATCGACGTTCTCACAGGAATACAGTTATGTGGTTTCCAAGATAGGTCTGATCAAGGACAATCCCCAGGAATGACGGAAAGAAATAGGGCGATTTAACCTCTAAATAGGGGTGTAAACTGAGAGATGGTTGGAGGAGTGAACAGTTCCAAACACAGTAGCCTAGGACTTTTGTACATTAAAGTTAAGCTTTAAGTTTTAAGTCCTCCTAAATGCTTACAATTGCAGCTTGTGATTTGTAAGTAGAAAGGAAAGGTAAATTTGGTAATTTTCTGATTAAAGATGATGGGAGCAATATTCTATGGAATTAGGGACGTCGTTAACCCGCAACAAAAAAGGGAAACAAAGATACTTGATCTTTGAAGGAGTTCAGAACCGATAGGCTGGGGGAGAGGATGGGCTTATCCGGGATGGATACTACTTGGGAACGGTCTGAAAAGAAAGATTGGGAGTTGCGGTAGAAGGAAAACATTTTAGGTTTAGCAAGGATGGTTAGGGACAATTTGAAACCCACACTAAAGAAGTGAGTGCAAGAGTTGTACCAAGTACTCCCAAATAAGAGCAATAAGTGGACCAATGTGGGTTATCACCTATAAAAGCCGCCTTATTATGTACCAATCAGTATGTGAATCAACTATATAGTATACGCGTCACCTGCATGGCCAAGTTACATAAAAAAAAAAAAAAAACAGGTTGGGCAGAGCTCACAAAGTGCAAAGGAAAGCATTACTGCTGGTCATGCAAACCTACAGGACATCAACGGAGGCATTACAAGTTATCTCAGGACAGATGACTATAGATTTGTGAATGAACTTAATAATGCAGTATGGGACGTTAGAAATGATATACAGCCGAGTATCAATGCTGCAAACGTTGAAGAAGTCATTAACTGGGCAACAACAGAATGGCAATGTCGGCGGGACTTAGCACCTCAGGTGACGGCAAGTCATACTCTCATTGAATGCACAAATTTTGACACGCTAAGATGTAAGTGGAAAAGAGAAACTGAAAGAGGAGTAGCGCTCACATTAAAAAACATGTTTGCCACAGAGAAAATGTTTATAGCTACAAAAAAAATTTATTTACAAAATCATGGAACACAAAGGATGGCACCCAAAAAAATCACAAGCGATAAATATGTTTTAATTGGAGTGTGTAATAGCCAGGAACTAATTATAATTCCACTCCCATGTCCTGACCGGATACCTCCAAAATGGCTTAAGTGTGACAAATTTCCGGGGGAGCAGAAAAGACCACTAGGCAGGGCCAATTTGTCGAGAACAAATAGATCCTGATAGAGCCCTTTGGATGAAGGTGCAGGAAGAAAGAGCACGTTTATCAAGGAAAAGGGAATGACCTACTGCATTAAAGGCTTTAGAGAAGTCCAGGAAAACAAGAATTGTAATTTACCTACCTGTCAATTGCTGTCTGTATGTCAGTTCTGTGGAAAAACCAGGACAAAAACCAGATGGGATACAAGATTTGAGGTTTGTAAATAAGAATATATTTGTAAATGGACTAATTTTTCAAGGGGTTTAGCAAAGTTAGAGAGGATATTGGCTAGAAATCATCAGGGGAGGTGGGATTAGGATTTTTATATGCGGGTTTCATAATCGCCTGCTTCCATGATTTTGAAAAAACAGAGTAAGGAAAAATATAGATATGTAGAAGGACAGGAAGGATAAATGGGAGACAAATGATGAGTTTTTACAGGCATACCTTCACTACCAGCTGCCTTGGTACGAAAACCCATAAAGGAAGCTAGTCGTGATTTGGGTGAAATGTTTAAAAAGAAGGAACTGTTAGGAATAAATGGAGCAAATAAAAGATTGTGGGGACAGGAAGGTTGACATAAAGTGGGCGTTAAATTCATCAGAGGATGCTGGCAACACAGGAAAAGCTTGGGATGAGCTGCGTGGAGGTTCTACTTGAATTTGGTATCGGGAGCAGAGGATATATATTGATAATCACATCAGTACAACTGAGAAATATCCACTTGGAATCGACTGGTGAAGCTAATGCGTTGTGACTGAAGAGGGTGGCTTCAAATACCGCATTTGGCTTCAAATTCATTCATTATAATAAGCTTTGTTTTTCCCAACTTTACAAACGTTTTTAATTTATGAAAGTACTTAATATTTATTTATTATCAGTGGATTTTCTAACTTTATTGATTTATGTAAACAGAATGATCTTTTTGTTTCGTGGAAATCATTTATTAACACATTAACATTGCAAAATTAAATTAAATTTGTTCAGTGTTGACCAAGAAATTTGTTTTAATCAACCAAGAAATTTGTTTTAATCAGAAAATTGTGTCAGAGATCCTTTAAGCAGGTGGTATATTGTTTTTCCTACAGCGTGTTAGGGACAATGAAGGCAGCCTGTCAATTGTACTTGAAACTGCTAAACCTACATCTATTGGAAGGAAATATTTATACAAGAAGCCAGGAAAAGCTCATTTAGGCCCCAAAAACATTTACATTGGATGGGAACTAAATGCTTCAGGCACACAACAATAAATAATAAAATCAGATGTCCATACATAGAAATGGGGATTGATTACGTGATACTGTAAACATTCTTTACAACATCCAATAAAGTCTCAAAAGACAAAAGAAGAGAAGAATTCAGAACCGAATGATACAATATACAAATGTCTTAAAAACACATGGTTTTTTGGTCAAGCCTTGACATACTGAAAAAATACTCATAAGAACAGACAGCAAAGCAGTTATTAGAGCATTAGCGTGTAAAAGAATCACATCCAAATTAGCGAATGCATCTAAAAAACTTGGAGAAACCCAACGACCTGATCATATCTTGGTGCCAGGACTCAAAGGAATTTTCAGTAATGAAAAAGCAGGCACACTGGCCTGTTGAGGATCTGCATGACAATATATAGACCCTGAATCTATTCATAACAAAAACAAATTCAGAATGTAAAAAAACCCTTACCGAGATTGGCAAATTCACTGCTACAATTAAACTAGAGGACTGATGGGATATACAGATCACTGGCACCTGAGAATGCATATACCCAACATAGGCATGATGATGGCTCAATGATTAGGTTATGCAATGGAAGAACAGCCACCCGTATCTAAGAATGCAAAGAAACCACTGAATAGAGACATAACCTGGACCAAATATACCAACCATATATAGGTCCTGAACCTTTAAAAAAAAAACAAAAAAAAAAAAAAACAGAATCCTCCATCACAGAATGGATCCAAAAAAAAGAGAGAAAAAATGGATGAACTCTAGAGGAGGTAGATATAGTAAGCTTACTTCAAAACGGCCCTCGCCAAGCCTGGCAAACTCAGTGCTAAAATTTGAGAAGGCTAAACTCAGAGAAGTGATGGGACTATATGCCAGTCACGGGCAGGAAACATCTACAAAACATGGCTCAACGATGACTTCATTTGGTTATGCAATTGGCAAGAACAGCCGCTCATATCACCTTCAAATATGAAGCAACTACTAATGGAGATATAACCTGGGATACAAAGAAAACCCAGAGAAAGGAATTGTAGCAATGACAGTACATAGTTTAATAATTTGGGGAAGCATTGAGTTGATTAATTGATTGCGCTGAACTAAGGAACAAGAAAAGAAAAAGCAAAAAGACTGCTATGTTTGTTGGGGGGACCAACTTTCTAGTACCCATCATCATCTTACAGAGCATAGAAAAATGTGTTTATAAATTATGTGAACTCTGCACATATTCAATAACTGTTTTCTCAATTCTGCACATGGATTACATACGAGCAGGCTATAAGTTGAGCCTATCACTCCCTGCAGTCCATCAGCAATTTCAGCTTTTGCATTTTTCAATGAAGGCCTCGAGAATCACCCATCCCGGGTGTTGGTTGTTCGGGGTCAGACCTCAGTCTTAATCGTCGAGCCACCGAGGTTGGGCTTAAGGGGCTATCAACAGCGAGGTCTCCTAACACACTCATCTTTAAGTTCATTCTTTCCCATTTTTCACTCAGTTGGGTGGTGGAGTACTCGATATTCCTCCATCACCTGTTATGTAGATATCCAGTTATCCATGCAACTGGGTTTATAAAGTTTGTAATATTTATAATTTGAGAAAGAGAGAAAAAAGTTTATATTAAATCATTGTTGTCAGGTCATTTATTTTGAAGATGGGTAAATTAATTAATTAGACTTATTTGTCCTGCCATTTTTTGGCATCTTGTGCCATATTCATGCAGTTTTATTTATTGGTTTTTATATAAAATTAAAAACTTAATAGTAAAAATAAAAACAAAATATAATAAAACCGAAAATGTGTCACTTGGTTGCCCCATATTTTATACATTTCAAATTTGATTAAAATAATTGCTAGTGATTAAAAGTTGTTTACAAGGATTTATAAATTTCTTGCACACTGAACAACCAAGGAAAAAATAATAACAATAAAAGTAAATGGAATGTGAAAAGTGTCAACTTTCACTCGGTATTTGGCAATCCTCAACCTCTTTACTGGCCGGGTAGTATACTTTAAAGGAGAAATCCCCTTTTGAGAAAGGACCAGGATTGACGACATGGCAGTTGTTATAAATTGAAGAAAATGCTTTGTGCTGATCTGCAACGACAACGACATCAGGGGTAGGGTAGAGTTGAAGGGCGGCATCATATTCCCAATAGACAGGGCAGACATTTAAGGAAAGGGGGACAAGATGAGCTTGGCAAATGATAGTCTTTGCAAACTGAAGGCCAATATCGTCAATCACAGGAAAATGTATAGTGTTACGACATAGTTTTGTCACAATGTCTTCTCTTATCAATACGATCTCTTGTGTGCAGTATTGTATCCTGCAAGGGTTTGTCATTGAAATAAGTCCTGGGACTTGCGCCTTGAGGTTTTCTAAGATAAATTCTGGAAGGGCGGGCCTTGGGAGTATATTAGCGACGAAAGTGTCTGTTGGACCGGGCACTATTATGAATTTAGACATTTTCACTAAATTGACATTTTGAGAAATAATTTCACCCAGAGCCCTGAAACCGTCTTTTAACGATGTCATTCGATTGTGCCCTTTTTGACAGGAGAGGAAATTGCCAAAAAGTACAAACACAGTGGGCGGTGAGGTGTTGTAACCGATAAACAGGGTTCTCAATTTGTCCAGGACTTGCGGCTGGTCCAACCATACATCGGATAAGAAGACAAACATCGAATCGTCCCTTTGTCTTTCGAGCGCCTTAAGCCGTTCATTGTTCCTCTGAGATATGAAGGCACTCCCTCCGAAATAATTCGCCGTCCCAAAATATACTCTGCTCACTTCGGCGTTTTCTCTCGGCGGGAGACCCATCGCTTGGACTGTAAGAATGTCGTCTTGATAGAATCCTTCTGCGAGTACGAAGCAGGAGTCTGTAAAGAGCCCGTCGTGGTAGGTCGTGTTCGAAAGATCGACTTGAACGAATCCGCTCGGGTCTTCGATGTAATATCTGCCTTCTTTGAGCTGTGTCAGGACGCCCAGGACGACCACATTTTCCAACTTGGAAGTCGTCGCCAGAAGACATTCAACGGGGCGGAGTTTGTACTGGGAGACGTCGTTCGCAGCACCGTGGAACAGTTCGTTCCTCATAGTTCTCTGATAGACTATCGTATACCTGTCTTTCAACAATAAACCTTTGGAAGCGGGAAGGCCGAATAGTTCTCTTTTCCCGTTGAACGAAGGTAGGAACTTTTTCCTTTCTAGGCTGTAGTCGAACTTCGGTACGTCGAAAGCTGACACGACGGACAGCAGTTCTTCGTCTTCGTCCGCTTCGCTCTTGCAGCTATCAAGGATCGCCTTCTCCAACTGGGACTTTTCCAGCACTGATGAGGTCAACGGTCTCTTCTGGCAGTGGTCTGTGATCTTTTCGATCCATTCTTCTCTCTCGGCTTTGCTCAGAGGTGAAAGGGTCTCGGTCAGGAAATCGGCAGCGTCCCCTCGAACGGTAAACCCGTTGAGCTGGAACAACGCGACGATCTTTTTTCTCAATTCTTTGTCCGCCGACATTTCAACAAAACAAGCATTTCAACAACTAAACACGATTGAATATAAAACGCCAGTATCAGAATCAATAGAACTAAAAAAAACTAAAGGTTACTTAAAAAACGCGGGAAATAATCAGCGATCACAGATATGACTGAGCTATCGATAAAGGAATAGAACAACAAATTTTAACCAAAACTTTTTTGAAAGATCTTTCTCAAGATTACATTTTTTGTATTTTTATATATATAAAAAATAATTTATAACGATTATTGTATTTTTTAAAAGGGTTCGCAACAGCAAAGGTCATATCAACCCTTCGGGTGCCGGCGTTTTTGAAAAATGCTTTTGCACGTCGGGTTGGAATGCAGAGTCGCTGGATTCGAACTCGAGACCTTTACCTGACAGTGATGAGCGCCGTGTCAACGCTTAAACGGCCACCGACGCATGTGAGAAAGCATCTACCCAACATAGGTATGATATATACATATAATGATGACTCCATTTGTAAGTTATGCAATGAGGAGGAAGCAACAGCCACTCATAACATCTCTGAGTGAAACAACGGCAAAAAAAAGTAAAAAACGTAGTGTATATTTTGCTCCAAAATGTCGGCAGACGGACCCTCCATGCCGTAATTTTACTTTAAATTATATATTATGTAATGTTTATAACTTTTCTTTTTTTTGCTATAAAGTATATTATTATTATTGCTCCAAAATGAATAGGGATATTGCTAATTTTGTAGTATTTACTTTCCCTAGCATTTTTATTGTAAATTGCATTAAAATTTATTAGAAATTATTGTTTTTTATGGGAGGAACATTTAAAATTAAGGGATTTTGAAATATAACAAAATAAAAGATTTTAATTCCATAATTTTGTTTATTGGATACAATAATTGATTCAATTAATACCGTGTATAATGTCCTATGTTAGGTAAATCCTCTGTGCACCTGTTAGGTATACTGTTTATAAGGTCATTAAGCGTAAGGAATTTCACAATGCTGCACTCAGTTTTTGCAGGTCAACTGGCTGGGAATGGTGATCAAAAAGCCTTCTCTGTAACACATCCCACATATGCTCAATGGGATTGAGGTCTGGAGGCAATGGGGGAAGGGGTTGGATTGGAAATTCCCAGGATTAAAAAACATTGATGAACATCTCTGCCTCTCTGAGGCCTGGCATTGTAATCCAGAAATCGAAAATACATGTCTATGAGATCCCTGGTTTGAGGGATGTATTTCACCATAATTTCTTAGACATATGGACTGAAATGAGGTTGCCTTCAACATTATGAAGTCCAGTTTGTCTTCCAGTGTAAATCCCAGCCCAAACCATTACACCGTCTCCACCAAACTGCACTGAAGGGAGCATGAAATGGGGCATTGCATGGGGCATCCCCTATTCTCGGTAGACTATTTGGCACCTGCTATCACTATGCAGACAGAAACGTGACTCATCAGTAAACATAACAGGCTTACAAAGTGCTCGTTGCACTATATTTTCTTGAATCGATGATGACAGGCTGTTGCTGCAGGTCATCTCAAAGGGGCATACAATGTGAGGCCAACTTCGATTTGTAATCAGGGCTTAATAGAAAGGGTGACAATATTTCTGTCTTCCTTTAGTCATAATGCTGAGATCCACTACCAGGCCTCCTATCGGCACTTCCAGTCTCTCGGAATTGGGCTAAAGGTCGGGAAACCACACTCTAAGAGACGCCAACTGTCTCTGTAATATCCACTTACCTGTGACCTTGATGACTCATTCTCACAATAATATTGGATACTTCTGGTTCAAGATGATGTCTTTCCAAAGAGAATACAACTGGATTAAAATGGACACAAGACTAGAAAAGGTGTTTGTTTACAAAATGAGTAATCTTCATGTTTTCTTATGTAAATCTGTTATTAAAAATAAGGATTAACATTTGTTTGTATTTTCTAGTTATTTTTTTATTTATCCAACTAACATATATCGGTTAATTTAATGAAAATTAATTGAATAAGAATAAATTATAAATATCCCTTGTCATTTTTGAGCAATTTATTTCTAGATCTCCAGAGAAGCAAGGTTTTATAGTTTGCCAGTGTAACCCCCATTGCATATACTGTGTTCAGAAAATTTGTGTATCCTCCCCATATTAAAAGCAAGCCATCACATGTTGGACTTGCACCGTGAAGGGTTGTCACTCCATGATGTGGCTACAGTACTTGAAAGACAAAAAAAAACATTTCCTAGGATCTATCACCATCACCATATGTGGCTGATAGCTCTCTTCTTATTGGGCGCTGGAGGATCTTCTGTTTCTTCTTGTCATGTCTGTGCCAAGGGGCAAAAATAAAAAAAAACTACAATAATATATTTTTTTGGAATTGTTTTATGCTTGAATTTGTTGAACATAATATTTCTTCAGGTATTTCATAATTCATGCTTGTTAAATGGTTACAATAACATTCATTATATAAAAGTTTTTAATGTTCACGACGCTTTAATGAAATGTAATGACCACTTGCAGACAGCAAAATAATATCCATTTGCAAAGTGACATCTGGTTTACTAACTTCTATTATGTAATTGAGAACAATTTGAGTCACAATGGATTTTAGTTCCATCATGGCGAACTTTTGCCCTAGAATAAAAACAACTGTCACATTAAGAAGAAAAAATTTTGCTCCCTTGAAAGCCCCAAGGAATTTTGGTGGGCCCGGTTGTTGATGGAATTTAGGTCTTTCTGGATTTTAGGGATGGCCAATGGTTCAGAGGGATAGAAGGACAGGTACATTTGGGCGTTGTCAGAATAAAAGTCATAGTTGCAATACTGGATGGAATCGGAGAGGTCATTAATGTAAATGCTGAAAAAGATTTGAGAGGTGCTAGAACCTTGGGGGTACTCTAGATTTTAATGGAAGGAGGAGGTGTGACTGTTATTGCACATTACTTTACACTCAAAGGAAACTTTTAAAATAATTATTTGTGACAAACCTATGCAATTTCTGTGACCTGCGCTGAATGGTATATAAGCAAATGGAGTCCTATTTGCTACAGCTTCTGGAAGAAAATTGTCAGGATTGAATTCTGAAGGGTTAGGGAAGTTTTTCTCATTTCTGTGCAACCAGTATATCGACATGAGAACTACTGTCCCAACGGGTAAAGTATAGCCAGCTAAAAATTACAATTTCATCAATTGTATTATCTTGGATAAATTACTTTTATACTAACTTTTCAGCGTGATTTCACTAGTGATGTACCTTCCTATTGCTGGAACACTGGGATAAAGTCTTAGTGATTCTTTTATCACTCGATCTAAATATTTTAATTCTTGCAAATCATCATGACTTGGCCTTGTTTTATCTCCGATAATTTGCTTCATCTCGTCATACAATAAATCCTATAATCATAAAAACGTGATATAGACATAAGTTACAAAAAAATCTCTCTCTCAAAAAGTTACTCAGCCAAGAGATCGAGGTAATTACAGATTTTTTTTTACACCTATCTAGTTACTAGACTAATAAAAAAATCAATTTTAATGGATGCAGGTGTTTAAATCATGACTATAAAAAATATACTTTCTGCCTTGTTTACCTGAATTGGTTTGTTTTTTGAAAGTGCTTTAAGGACAAAAGAAATAGCGGAGGTTACAGTGTCATGACCCTAAAATAATACAATTTACTTTATTTGAATTCAATTATGTAAATTTATAAAATAGAAAGTTTGCAAGTAGAAAATATAAACCTCAAACATAAATGTATCAACTTCTTCTTGTATATCTTGATCGGTGCTAAATATACCATTGACTGTCTTCTGTTTCAGTAGAGATTCCAATAATGGGATCTTCTTTTTGAATCCTTAAAAAAAAAAAAAAAAAAAAAAAAAAAAAAAAAAAAAAAAAAAATTACAATTAAACTACATAATTATACTATAAACCAAATGCTCACCTAAAATTTCTTCGGCTTCATCTGTTTTACTTTCAAACTGCATTGATTTTTGTTTATCTTGGATCACCTATGGGGGTAAATAGATACAGCTAAGACATTTTTGACACTAATTTGCTAATTCTTTACCTTCCTCGTAGTTTCATGCAGTATGCTTATGGTATCCTCGACTTCTTTGGGTGATTTGAGCAGTTTATATAAAAAATCCAAATGGAGCCAAGGTTTCTGCATCCTTTCAGTAATAAGTGATGCCATTCTAATAGAAAAACAATATTGTATTATTAAATTCTACAAAAAAAAGTTGTTAAGAAATTTATTTTACTTTCTCAAGGCTGTGACATAACTGGATTTTTGAATTTGTGCATTCACACTAATTCCCATCGATGTTTCTAAAAAGTATTATTGTTTTATTTAAAAAATTTTTGGAACCTGAATACATTATATATATTAATTTTAAAACTAAATCAATACTTATATAAAAAAGAACCATAATTAGCCATAGCACTTTTTTTTTTAGGTTTGGGTAAGTTGAATAAGGATTTTAAAATTCATTTCCCACACTCTGACCAACATAGACCTATTGTGGAACCCCTGAAAATTATAGCCTTACTTTGTAAAGTGCTCTTTTCCTATAAGCCTAAGCACTTTCCTCGGTGCCTCTTCACACACCTCTTTTGGAATGAGAATTGCCTACCGAAGTGGATGTACCGTAAACCAGGCAATTCTTCACATTCACAAAAGATAGTATGCCGATATATCCTCCTGTCAGTGATGGCATCATTCTGTCTCTGCTTTACCCATCTTCCTTAGTTGGTAGTTAAGAGGGCAGTGGATGGTATAGAGTCCTATAATTTTCCTAAAATTCTGCTTGATGAGAGAAAGTTCTTTCATGTTCCTTTTTGAGAGATTTATAAATCTCTTATCTTGCCATATACTTGGTGTTTTTATCCAGGGCTTGAGTTTTTCTTTCTCCAGCTATTTTTCCAGTTCCATCTTAAGCACACACTCTGGTGCACCTAGTTTGGCTCTGGTCCCTTGGGACTAGTTAGTAATCCCGTTCTTCCCAAATCTTCATGCCCTGAAATTTCATTTAAGATAATCTTCTCCTGTTTTCCTTGAGCCATTAGGCAACTAAGGCCTCCCAGACAAGTTTGTAGTAGAAAGCATGTGCATTTAGTCCTATAGCTGCCTGATTGAGAGTCTGTAAATCTTTGCAAATTTCATATTTTTTGTATTGACTCTTGTGCATAAAGATGGATTGCAAGGACCACAGCTTGGAAAATTGTTGGGATAAGTTCAAGGGGCTTGGCTAGGGTATAGTTCGGCCCTTTTAGTACACCTACACATACACCCAGTTCCATCTTCGATCCAACTGTGTATTAGGGTCTTTTCCTGAAACTTGTGGCGGCCACAGCACATTCTTATTTTATTAATATAAAGTAATACTATTGAAAGAAAATTAATTTTACTCTGAATGCTCACCGCAAATAATGTCCAGAGTGCAGTCCGATATGAATGGATTCACATCACAACACTTTCCACAAAAGCTGGACAATTTGTTAACAAGAATAGTTGCATTTTTATAAAAAACGTCTTCAAATTGCTCTAAAATTTTGAAATGGAATGCAGGTGTTATAGCTTTCCGTCTTTTTAACCACTTTTCACCTGCTCAAAAGCAAAATTGATACATATTTAAAATTTCAATTTAATTTATTCGCCTTACCTGTGCTTGTTAGCAGACCCGTCCCAAGCCAGCCATGAAGTAACATGTAGAGTGGTGATTTTGTAATGTTATCTTTACTAGTCAGTAAGACCTAAATGATAATGATTGAAAATATTTCACTATATATGAAGATTTTGATCAGTTTACCTCCATATCACCTTCGTCTCTACAAATTACATATAATCTATTTCCGACCCAAAATCTAACAGTATTTCCGTACATCTGAAATCTCTCTCCCCATTTTTGTAATTGTTCTGAAAACGTATCTTTAAGAAAAACGCTAACATCGTCAAATAATAACATACCTATGCCATTTTTTGGTGTGCTGAATATACATCCAATTATTGGAAGTGATAAAGGTCCTGGTATTTTATTACCCAGTTCTCTCATACTGGAATCGGGTAAAGTGTAAATCCACAGGAGAAAAATTAAACCGGCTATTAACAATGCTGTTTCCAAGAACATTGTCATAAAATATTTAGTATTAAGAGTTTGTCTAAAAGTCATGCAACACTAAATCAATCAAGTGATAACGCTGTAATTAAAATATGAAATATAAATTAAAGTATTTTTATATTGTAGTTGTTAAAGTATTTTACCAGAACAGTGCACAGCAATAATTTGTTGTCAGTTTTTCACACTACAGTACAATAGAAATGCTGTTAAAAACATATTCTACTGGGTAGGATTGGAGAAGGAGAGATAACATAAGACCAAGGTCAATAAATAATAAGACAAAAAACTAATCACAGTGGTAGTTGCTGTAAAATGTTACAAAAGGAACAAGAGCTTTTTAGGATTTGGCAACAGTGTAAAATATTTCTTAACCTGCGTCAATAAGTTGAATATTTTCTGTGTAAAATGGTTTTCAATTAAATTCAACAGCACTTGATCCATTATTTAATATATTCATGTGTTTCATGAGAATTTATTTTTTCATATATTCGTATTTTATTTTTATGTATAATCTGTACATAAGGAATACATCCTTTACAGATAGAGTGACTTCTATTATTATAGATATGGGCTTGATAATCACGCATCTCGTGTATTGGCAGTCTGGGGGTAGATGTTGGTCTTATCCATCCACCAGAGTTGGACTCCAATACAGGTCAATAGAGCACCCAACCACATGCAGTTCCTAGATCCAAACCCAAATCACCCTTTCGATCATTCTTAAATACATCCTTTTTTATTTAGATATCATTCATTCTCAAAGTTTTGCTGCATTTGAAAAGGAACATTGGGCATGTAAAAAGGCAAAAGAGAAATTTTACAAACATCTGCTTAAGTTGGTTTATTTAAATTTGGAATTAAGTGTCTCTCGTTAATCCTTATCTCCTTTGTTTTATTATAAAGCTGTGAATAAGTTCCACGATATCTGTATTTCCCAACATGACTAAATATTTTGGGTGGATTCCTTGGTTAGGTGTATTATGTTTATTTCTTTGTTATTACGATGTTTCGTCATTATTTTTATTTTCAATTAATTTTTTTTAAACGATTTCTCGCATTCTTGGACATCGCACTGAAGTTTACTGTTTGGCTTGCTTCATGAACCTTTAGGCATGATGGCATTTACGAAAGATTTTTTTAAATAAAAAAAAACAAAAAAATGGTTTGTTACGTATACATGATAATATGTTATACAAATGTGTACACATGATTAATATATCACACTAGCACTAATGCCAGCCCTGCACTGGTAGAACACATGTTTTGAGAAGCCAGCCATTGCTAGCACTCAGTGTGTATGATTAGGGGTCAAGGAGGTCCTGAGGCCATCGTTGGTTGAGGCGACGTGGTGGGTTGTCAAGATGGGAATGAGAGAAGAGGGCTCAAGCAGTATGGTTAGGATGGTTCAAAAGGTTGGTGTGGAAGGTTTGGAATCTGGACCGGATTAGTTAGTTGGCAAAAGGAATGTTGAGGTCTTTGTGGATAGTGAAGTTAGTGACTTAATAAGGTGCTTTGACAATTTGTCTAAGGACTTTCGATTGGAAGGACTGGATGCTCTGGATATTGGAAAGCTTGGCAGTACCCCACAGTTCCACTTCGTATGTCCATATTGGTCTTAATAAAGTCTTGTACAGTGTTAGCTTTGTCTTAATTGTCGATTTCGGTCTTAGAAGTCTTCGTAGTCTAAGTCTTGTATTAAGTTGTTGATTTTTAAGTCTTGTGTGGGGATTCCATGTCAGTCTGCTGTCGAGATGTAGTCCCAGGTATTTGACTTGAGTGGAAACTGGTAGCTCTTTGTTGTTGATGTACAATAGAGGGCAAGACTACTTTTTCAGCATAAAAGTACACTGAGAGCATTTTTCTTTGTTCATTCTTGTACTCCATTTTTTTCACCAGTCTTCGATAAGCTCAAGGTATTCCTGGATGTTGGAAGAACCTTGGACAGGATTCGAGTTAGAGGATATGATTGCGGTGTCGTCCGCGTAGGTTGTGATAAGAGTGTCAGGTTGTATTTGTAGGTCAGCATTATAAAATGATATATAGGATAGGACCAAGGATCTTGCAGTACACCGGCCTGTATCCATTTAATAACTGCTATAACATTCACGCTAGTAAATGCATTCACTCTCAACTCATGCTAGTGGACAGAAAAAATATAATATATACAATAAAATAACTCTGTTTCCTCGAAGAATCGAAATAGGGACAGATACTCGTTGCTATGCTCAAGCACAATCCTCATGTCTGTGGCATTCCTACCTGCTCCCTATATGGATCCAAGGAGTTGCCCCGCTCAATTAGATGGATATAGAGCAATCTTTCCCTGCAGGCCAGACACGGTCTTTGGCCCAAAACTAAGTGCCCGTGTATCAACCTTGCCTATTCTTGGTTGAGGATAACTCTTCTCGTATGAGTCAGATCCTCCGAGGACCACCAATCATGATTCGCGAGAGCTTCTCTGCTGACCTGGCCCATGCTGCCATCTTCTTTTAATCGTGTTTTTTTTTGCACTTTTAGCGTCACGGGGCCGGATCGAAGTGGTTAAGCTCAGGGTTGGAACGTCTTTGCCTTCGTCCTCCTTCGTTTTAAAGAAAAATTTTGATTTTATTTTCTCATAGTAAACGAAAAGGTTAAATTCTTTGTTGTGAATAGTAGGTTTTATACGGAACTTTTTTTGATTGTTAACAGTTTTTATATGGAACTTTTAATATATGATTATTGATAATCGCTTTTAAATTACTTGAGTCGCCAGATATCACTGGTTTTTTTTTCTTATATAGTCGTCGTTTTAAGCTCTAATGGTCGTGTTATTCATCTAAAGATAATCGTCATCGTGGCGTTGTTTCAATTAAATTTCCAACTCATTTAACCCATAACTTAACATGTTAAACGAATGTCAAAAATATAGATATATTTAATGCCAGTTTAAGTAAATTTAAGCAAATTTTATATTGTATCATTAATATATTCAGTTACATTGATCTTTTTTATTAATAATACAAAAATTGAAAATTACATTCAGTTCATATTTCAAATTGTTTCAATTAAATTAAATTTTTTTAACATTATAAACATTCCTAAATTTATGGACAAATATAACCTTTATACTTTTATTGTATAAATTTGTATTTGGGAAACTACACCTGAATTTCCTACGTCTGTATTACTTTTTATGTGCAATGTGTGGCATGAAAAGTTTACAAGAAATTACATTGCAAAGAGGTTTAAATATGTGCATAAGATTCATACTAAATCTTAATTTTAACGATCGTATATATCATAAATTTCAAATTTAAATTTCTTAATGATGAAAGATATAATTGATTATAACAAAGCATGTATGATTTTCTAAGTAATAAAAACTAAAAAACCTAAGTATTTGTATGAAAAATAGATGATACCCAATTGTTAAATGGAGATTATATATTATTTTTGTACTGTATTAATTACTTCTTGTTTCATATATTCTATTGTAAACGCATTATTATTATTAAATTCACCACGCAAACACACATTCAGTGGTCCGCTTGACCAATTAATATCTTTCAATTCATTAAGGGTTTTAGTTGAGATAAAAAAGTCAATGTCACGAGCGGGATTCGAACCGACGACCTTCGGCTAATACGCCGCTACCCTACCACTTGAGCTATCGTGACTTCGATCCCCAAAGGTCGTGGGTTCGAATCCCGCTCGTGACAATGACTTTTTATCTCAACTAAAAACCTTAATGAATTGAAAAAATTATATTATTATTTACAAAATTGTCGTTTTAGGCTGTAATGATCGTTTTATTCGTCTAAATATAATCGTCATCGTGGCGTTGTTTTAATTAAATTTCTTAATAAAGTTAAAGTCGTTCAAAAATATAGATATATTTAATGTCAGTTTAAGTAAATTTAAGCAAATTAAATATTATATCATTAATATATTTAGTTAATTTGATCTTGGGTATAATTATTACAATAATTGATAATTAGATAGTTTTAGTTCATATTTCAATTGAAATTGTTTGTTTGTTATTTTTTTATTATTAAACATCCCTAAATTTATGAACAGATATAATCTTTATACTTTTATTGTATAAATTTGTAATTGGGAAACCGTAAAATAAATAAACCCTCACGTCTTTGAAACGTCTAAACACTTATGAGTTCCATGTGTGGCTAATTTTGCCACACAGTCTCCGAAATTTTAAGCGCAATTTCAAAAAGAAAGAATTGATAAAAGCGTTTTCGAGAATTACAAACACGGTACACAAATGAAAAAAAAACTTTTCTATATATTACTAAGTTTTATATTGAAACTATTCTGTTGAGACAAACCATTAAAATATTTATTCAACAAAGATTTGACAAGATCTCAGAATTGGACGACCCTTGTTTTGGCGAAAGTTGAATCAGGAACGTTATATTAAAAGTTAAATTATAAAAATGTTTCGAGGAAAACAGAGTTTTTATCAAGCATTATACATCGCAACATGGATACGCTTGCAGATAAAAGAAACAAAAAGAAAAAGAAAAAAGGCCGATGCTTGTTAGCCTAAAAGAAAACCTCAGTGGCTGCGTCGGAGGAATTCTTTGATCACTGCTAACAAGTAACGTAATCTTTATAAAGAAACCTAAACATTAGATATTAAAGTTTATTTTGCTCTTGCACAGTCTTGAGTTATGAAAATCGTTTGAATAACGCGAAGAAAAAAAAATCCTTTATTAGTTATGTACTTGCGTTAATTAGTAATTAAGATTAATTATGTATTTATTTAACAAAAATACAATTGAAAATGATTTATTAGCGAATTTTTAGAAAACAGGAAAGTCCGAGTCAAGCTGTGCTATTAGGGGATTACGTTCAAGAGAACGGCACCTCCCAAGGGTAGGTAATAAGTGTGTGTTCTTTCTTGTCGCGCTGTACGGAATCACTGACTCTATTCCCCGGCAGATCCAGAAAATGTTATGCGTTGACGACCTCTGTTTTCACGTCTCTGGTAAGGATCTGACATTGGGCGATGCAGTCGAGTATTTTGGAGGTCCTGAAAAGGGAGAGCTGATGGACTGATATCGATATATAGGGGGAGAGGGTAGATGCCACTACGACTTATGGAATGTTCTCGCCCTCCACTCTGCAGCCAATCAGAGTAAGAGCTCTTCCCTATATAAGCAGGGGCACTGCCTCACTGGAATCAGACTCGTCAGCGGTCAGCCCGACGAGATCTCAACCATCACTAATATAACGGAGACTCGTCAGCCGACGAG